AAAATAAAACCCAGAAATGAGGGTAACTGAAAAGCACTGCAAGACTACTGCATCATTACGACTTTTCAAATTATTTAAATATGCTAAATATCAAGTCACCACCAAAGAAATAAATATTGCATAGGCCATATGCTCTGTTAGCTGCCAGCAAAACTGTCCTACTAGGATTAGTTTACAGGCGCAGCAACTGCCTGTCAAACACTAGCAATTTTAATCATTTTTCAATTTGCTGTGTGAGTTGCGAGTATGCTCAGGTATTTTGACAGGTGGCTGCTCGGAACAAATATCTGAGCCCAGTAGCTTCACACCGCCCTGCTTTCCTACGCGCTTGCAATTCCTGTCGGATTGGGGGGACGCAAGTGTTTGGTGAAGATGCAGCAGTTGCAGGAAAGTCACTGTACTGCGCTGCTAAGCTCTATTTGCAGCTCACGTACAACACAAGGATGACACAAAGTTAGCCTAAAGCCTAGTGCAGACCAATAGCTGTGTAATATAATGTTTCACTTGATTTTTCAAAACATTTCTAATCACAAACAAGCTGGAGGTCTAAAAAAAAGTAAATAGAGATCTGGCTATGATTTTAAACAAATAAACAGAAAACCTGAAATAGTACTTTTCTGCACACTAGATGTGCTTTCAGTACTACATGTAATTAATCTATTACGCACCAACTGCCCTCTTAATTATTTTGTGTTTAATCTACGTGGTAGTACTGAAAATAATTTTAGCTCTTCTTCTGTTGCATTTTCTAATGACCAGTATAACTGTGCTGTTCAGCCACAACACTTTGTGTCATACAGAGACAAGTTCCTAACTTGAAAAACCCACAACTCTATTGATTTCTGAGTGTCCAAATTTCCAGGTGTTTGGGAGAAATGAGGCTCCTAAAATCTATAAACATTCTGGGAGAAACCAGGGGAGGAACTATATTTTCCTGAAGAAATGAACCAATAATATCAAAGCACCACAAATAAACTACGTTTCCAATATTGTTCTTTACACATTAGCATTCTCAGCATCAACCCCCTGAAGTCAGCCAAATCTGTCCAGTGGAAAGGATTTGGATTATGATGTAAACTAACAGTAAAGACAATTCCAAATAACATCTAATGTCCAATATAACTACTGTTTACATATTAAAAAGAGATACAGGCTTTGTACCAGGGATGTTCTGTCATGTTTCTCCACAGGAGAAAACTGTCATGGTAAAGTTCATTATCAATTACTGCTTTACAAGTACAAGATGAGTTAAGCTGTCATAATTTTCTCAGCCAGAGATCTTGTGCTGTCAAAGAATGTCAGTTTTTAATCTGACAAAAGGAAGAAAATTATCTGTTATTCTGACCTCTAATTTCTTGACATTTTAATGCTGTAATTGCTGTGGTTAGTGCTGCAACCATGATTTCACCTGTCAAGTAAGAATGAATCAATATCCTTAAGCTGTTCTTCAAGTTTTAGCTTTCACTTCACTGCTTTTACTTTAAAAAAGGAAAAATTTACAAATAGAATACAAAAGGTTGCAATAATAAAAAAAAAAAAAACAACAAACAAAAGAATAATTTGGGGCCTTAAAAATGTTTATTTTGTTACACATTTTTTCTCCTCCATATTACAACATGAAAACAATTTTGCAATGTGGAGAATAAGAGAGACCATTAGAACTGATAGGACTGGAGAATTTCCCAATTTCTAATAAAAAAAAATCTAAACAACAAAATTCAATTTTATACATTCTGTGGAGCATTTCAGTCAGGACTTTCATGTTGTCCTCATCACTACTTGAAATAAATTATAGTGATCAAATATCTTTTGTGGTATCAGAAAATTACAGTTGTTTGAAAAATCAAAATCAGTATCTTTAAATGAAATCAGTATATTTTACCCATCCAGTGCAGATCTTAAGTTGCCAAACACTTATTACAGAGGCAGATATATGTGTTTCATAGACTTTAGTAATCTAAAATTTAATGCTATCCCAGCTTTCCGGTTTCACCCATTGTGAATTTGCAAAATAGAAAACGAAGAAAGTAAGCCAGATGGAGAGTCTTCTACTAAATAGGTCCAAACAGAACAAAAGCACAGTATGGCCATTTTTCCAGTGTTAAACAGTAGAGAGTTCTTCGAGGGCTCCCCCATGCACGTGAGAAAGATGTAAGGAATGGCAGGGATGAGTTATCCCACCATTGAATATATTTTTGCTCCAGCTAGAAGGCTACTGAAGTGACTCCTTTATCATTCTTCACAGAGAGCTAAGAACAACATAATCCTCAGTTGTTAAGTGAGGTGCTCAGGCAAAGGGTGAATGTGAAAGGGCCAAGGTATAGCATGAACAGGTCACAGGGATCTGCCTTATTAAATGATGTCTTTCAATCAGCTCAGACCTAGATGGGAAGGTTTTGTATTTGGAGCCTCATTTCACTGAGCAGGTTCTGCTGGGACTCAGCTCAATATGAAATCAGTTACGGCCACAGTTTGAGGAGGCTACTGCCGTATTCGAGCCCATTGGTCTGATAACGGCTGGTGCCAATAAAGGGGTTTGATAACGGCTCCTGCCAATAAGGTTGTATTGGTTGGCTTATTTTACAGACATTTATTGAGACCATTCACCATCTTCTATGTGACAGAACAAAAATGTTTCAGTTTATTTAGAAAATAAACATCAAGAGCATTTGGATACTGAGAGATGCATTTTCCTGGATAACTGCAAAGCTCAATTAATTTTAAATTGCAGCGTTTCTAAGTTAAGATGCCAGACACCACCACCTGCCACTGTAAAACATACTAAACAATTGTTATCACTATTTTTAAAGGTGTTAGTGTTCCTATCCTCACATTTCTGTATTTATAAGTAGTTTTCAGAGGCTTTTAAAAGATCTTTTTGCTTTTAATTTATTTTCTGGAATATCTAGTAAAAGGCAGAATAAAGTAAAAAAAAAAGCCAACAAAACAATATATATAGAACATATATACTTGTAACAGAAACACGACATCCAAATACCTGATCTACTAGATCATCCAGATGTGAAATGCTTTATTACTGGCCATAGAACGTCTGCTAGTTTCATATATAGAACGCAGGGAAACAGAAGAAAGCTCGAAATCTGTCTATATTTTCACATGTATTGTAATTTCTGATTAAAAATGAATAAAAAGTAATTTTTAACCTTTTTATGACAAACCACAGATCACCAATGTCTGAGATCTCTTGGAGGAGAAAGCATACTGTTTTTAAATGCATGCATATAACTTTATGTATTTACATGTAACAAAAATTAGGAGGATTCATTCTTTTCTAGACATGTTGCCTTCTCATTGCTAACAATTAATTTTATTTACTAATCTGACTTGTGGCAATGAAGATAAAATTGTGCTTTTAGAAATTTACACAGTGTAAATAGCCTAAGAAGAGATTTATATGCTATTGACTGACAGGGCATGGGTTAGACGTACAAGCGAGTGAACAAAAACATCTCCATGAATTTCTTGAAATTTCCGATGACAAGTTATGCATGTAAGTAGAGCCACAGGAGAGTGAAGAGTCTCATCATGTCATAGGATGTTAAATAAGGTGCACAGACAGACAGACCAACCTCAATCCTACAAGCTACCCTGTGGGAGTAGACCCTTAAAGTCAAGACGTAGGAGTCTGCCCATGCAAATCAGGACCCTAAGCCATGCAAATCCCTTGTATTCATGATGCTTGACACCTGTTTTATACTTTAAAAAGCATTGCTCCTTAGTATCTCCAGTTTTGTACCTTACTGACTCTTCTCATGCTCAAAGTTTTAAATCCAGAAAACCATTATGTAGATGTTAACATTAAATATTTGAGGCAGTAGAACCAAAGCAATTCTGGCCATTCTTAAAACTAAGCAAATACTAACTGTTTACAAAATATAAGCTTTGCAGTGCATGGTGTGAAAATCCAGCTCCAGGAAGCTAGGGGTCTGAATGTTTTTTTAGTTCTGCTCCTCAAAAAGCACCAAATGTAACAAGATGCAACAATGCACTACTAAAAAACAACATGCCAAACCCAATATTTAGCTGAATACTAATGCTTTCTACAATCTATTTCTTTCTAAAATCTGTAGATTTCTGTCTCCAAGATTGGAAAACAAACAAACAAACAAAAACCCATTGCCTGGCAATGTATAAATTATTACTGTTTTGCATACAGCAGATGGCAGTTATCTGGGGGAATGGAAGCTTGCGTGTACAGCTTCATCACAGCGGTACTCATCTAGCAGCTGTTGCTTCTTCACACTTTTCACCAAATTTCAATTGTTTTAGCCAACGAATGGATGATATTAGAAAATGATCATTCAAATTAATAGTCTTACTAAAAACAAATACAGTTACTGGAAGGAAACATGTATCAGGATAGCTAGTACAAATTTTTTAAAATTTACTGATAAATTCAAAACACTCACTTGTATATATGTGCATGTATACATATTTCATGCATACATATATACAAACATAAATACTTGTATGCACAACAAATAGCAAACATTTTCTATTTTGGTAACAGTTTGCTTATACTTTACGTGATTAACACAAAAGTAATCTGAATAATTGCTACTGTCACTCTAGCAAATATATTCTTTTTTAGATACATATTCTCACCAACATTATCTGACTGAAAAGTTTAGATTGTTTTCCCTATGACTATGATGCAGTTTTTTCTTTCAGCTTTTCAGTTCTACTAAGTGAACTTAATAAATGTAAATTATAAAAAGTAGCAGAATATATATACAGAATATACATTACATTATAATTTCCCATATCATAACTGACCATTAAATATATTAGTAACTTCAAGCAAACAAAATACTTTGGGACATTGCTAGTTTATTAATACTTGCTTCTGAAGTCATCTAGGGCCTAAGTTCTGAATCAAGTCACACACAACAATTTTCTCCAGCAGTGAAAGATGGAAAAAGTATCATTTCTTGTGAGATGACAGCAGTTTTTAGAATGAAATGGCAGTAAACACCTACCTCCCTGAGGACAGGATCAGTGATACTGTCCAGGTTCACAGAGCCTTCATATGTTAGGTAGTGGAAAACGTTGAGTGCACGCACTGCTTCTGGTCCTCGTTGCTTGTAGCCAAATATAAGGTCAATCCACTGATGAAGTTGACATGATACAAACTCACTTTCCAGGGCCTGCAAGTGAAATTCAGAGTTAGGAAGTAAATTCCATCTTGCAATTTCATGCTTAAATTACATCCTACCTTTCCCTATTAACTGAGGAAACATAATGGGTATCATTACATTTCCTGTTCAGGCTTATTTGATATATTTGAAATCCTTCAAACATTAAAAAACAGAACTAATTATAGTTAGAAAAACACTAAAAAGATATTCTTCTTTCCTTCAGCTTTATATCATGCTAATTTTCTTCTCAGCTACCGGGTTTCTCCTAGCTGCAAGGGTTTTAATTATTAATTTTTGGGCTTGTCAAATAAGTTAGGTAATTTGTCAAGAAAAACTGATGAAAATGGGAAAACAATTTCAAAAGCCCAATCTTCCAACTCATTTTCCAACTAGTTCTAATTAGTCTTAAATCTAAAATGGAAACTTGAGGATTAAAAAGCGGTATCGGCGAAATGAGGTTCTGAACTCCATGTGTGAATTGTGACTGATTTCTCAAAGGAGAAAAGCATTTTTCACACTCATTTTTGACATTAGGTTGGTTCACCAGAGAAAACACAGGCTGTGACTAGCTAGTTTAAAAATGGGTTCAAGGATTGCTATTCCTTTGCTCAGCATACAGAAAGAGATTAATTCTAGATGGAGGAAATGATGATAGTATTACCGTTGAGCCTGACCCAACCAATGTGCCTTTATCAGACATGATCGGTATCCTTGGTAGATTATCATTGCCTGAATGGGAGCTTTCGAAAGCTGAAGGCATTACACAGTTTCTTCTTACCCCTCTGCCAGACTACCTGTCTTAGTTTCCCATGAGCCTGCACCTGGATACACAAATCATTCTCCTATAATGACTCATCATGAATTTAAGATAGCATCCGGGCACCCTTGTTCTTTCTTTCCTAATGCTACCTTCAGAGAAGAACTGTGATAAATAGGAACTGATATTAAAATAAAGATTCATGGTTCATGGACCAAGTTTTTATATGTGTCCTTGCCCAAACTCCATCACAGTCCTGATTTTGTGCATATACGTAGTGTGTCATATACCTAGTTCCCTTCCATCAGAACCAGTGCCGTTCAGTTCTCCCATTGGGGAACTAACTCCCTATTAGTTTGTCAGAAAAAAAAAAAATACAGAATCACAGGATGGCTGAGTTTGGAAGGGACCTCTGGAAATTACCTGGTCCAATCCCTCTGCTAAAGCAGGGCCACCTAGAGCAGGCTGCCCAGGACTGTACTCAGACGGCTTTTGAGTATCTCCGAGGATGGAGACTCCACAACCTCTCTGGGCCTCCTGTGGCAGTGCTCTGTCACCCCCACAGTAAAGGAGGGAACCTCCTGTGTTTCAGTTTGTGCCTGTTGCCTCATGTCCTGTCACTGGGTACCACTGAAAAGAGTCTAGCTCGCTCTGAAAAAAAAATAACAGCCTTAATACAATTTATTATGTAAACATCTATGTCAAGCTTACTACTACTCACTGCATACAGGCAGAGCTGGCAGCAACACTCTATGCTACATTATCTAATACTTTTCATTCTCTAAGACTGTGGGGTTTGGTTTTTTTTCCTTCCCCTAAGAAATCCTAATTCCTCCATTGTTTCTAGCACAGTGCCACGACTAAGTACAAACACTTTCCAGCTAGGACAGAGTTTCATGTCCACCCCAGGAAAGTTCAAATTTTACAGGGGGATAAACTTTGGAAAAAATGTGTTTTCATTTTATCCATTTACATCAAAAGGAGGTTGCTTCAGAAATAATCATTGGACGTTGTAGTACCGTGCCATGCACTGCCCACCGGCAGCAGCCCCCTGCCCACCACCACACACGCAGGAACAGCCACAGACAGGGCAAGCCACATGGGTCTGGCTCCCTCGGTAATCACGCGATCGTTCCTCAGACATTCTCCCCGTATTGCTCCACGTGGAAGAGGAACTCTCTGTGCTTTGGTGGAAAACTGGATCCTTCTCTATTGAAACCAGCGACTGTTATTGCTGAGGAAAATGGATGGGAAGGCTCAGGCTTAACAGCTGATATGTAGCTCAGTTTTCAAGGGCTTAAGTTCAGCATATCATAAGAAGCTATAACGAAATGTTGCAGAAAAGCATATAAAAATTTGTTGTTTCCTTTTCAAAATCAGAGGCCATCATATGCAAATTGTGAGTAATATTATTTAAATAGCATTAACAGAACTTAATACTAAATATTATTAAACTAATACTATTTGGTTTCAAAGCATGTCTCACAATAAATAATTAAGAAATGCCAGATCCTTAACTATATTGTATTGTGTGTGTGCAACATGATACAGTCAGCAACTACATCATCCCATATAATCTTTTTCATAGCACTTTTACCTCATTTAGCATGCAGGATGTTAGCACGCAAGGATAAAATTAAGTATGCCACAGCAGCCATAAATAAAGCATTTCCTAACTTTTAAATGCTCAATTTTTAATGTTCCTTTGTATGTAATAAAACTTAAAATAGAATTTAAAGCCTGTTGTCTTTCCAGGATCCATCTCCGACCAACCTACAGTGAGCAGCCTAACTGTTCTCTTCCTCCTCCAAACTCTGCATATTTATAAGTTTCTTTTGCATCTGTATCTATTATTTATTTATTAAAAACTAATTAATAAAAAAAATTGTTAGGCATTTGCTTTGGTCAAAAATAGCATTGTTATTTCTAGAATACAGAGAGCATTTCAGGAAAATGGCAAAACTTTTGACTATTTAAAGGTGGGATAGTAAATTTGAAAAAATAAATGCTTGGGTCAAATGAGCATATTTCACCCGTTATCTCCTCTAACATCCTCTCCCTGATGTTAGAATCATAGAATCATAGAACAGTTTGGGTTGGAAGGGACCTTTAAAGGTCATCTAGTCCAACAACCCTGCC